GCCGAAAAAACGAACTTGGCGTCAAATAAGGTCAGGTAGACATTAGGCCACAAATACGTAAGTGATGTGCATGTAAATCTCTCTCTCTCTCTCTCTCTCTTCTCTCTCTCTCTATATATACATATATATAGAGAGAGGGGGAGAGAGAAGATGATAACATAGAAATCTCCCCTCCGAGGTTACTCTTTATGTCCTCCTGATACAATTTGAACCCACACTAGAGAATTTCAAGTGTTAGCGTTGCTCAGACAGGTGACAGCTTAGTGCGCGAACATTAATGTCACGTTAAACCTGTCTCGCCTGAGCGCCTATCGGCTAATGATCACGACTCTGCGACCGTAAAAACCTGCGAGATACCACGCGGAAGCATTTCTGCCTTGTCCGTGCGCTCGCGTGAGAGCGCGAACAGAGAATCAAAACGGCGAAGAAGAAAAAACCGCTGAAAATGGTTAAGGTAAGCGTGATAATCACTCTTACGTTGGTAACGCTCGTATGCTTGCTCACGGCGGAGGCAGAGAATATAGCAGGGGAGACAAATATTGCGTCAGGGGAGATTTCTGCTGCGTCAGAAGAAACGACCACTGTGTCAGAAGAAACGACCACTGTGTCAGAAGAAACGACCGCTGTGTCAGAGGGAACGACAGATGCGTCAGAAGAAAGTAACACAGCATCCGATGAGATGACAACTGCGTCAGAAGATGAGACGCCGTCGCTGGATCCATTAAATCCCCAGACAGGCGATGCCGACCCAGCATCGACAGCGGACAACGAAGTTGAGAGAATTGAACAGGCTGACAATGGGCGCGAACGCGTCGCTGGGCGGACAGACCAACGGACGGCTCAACGAAGGCGCGATCGTGTAGGAACTATAATCACAAGCGTCATTGAAGAGTTAAGTAATAATGCTGATGCCCGTATGACAACCTCTGAAATAGAGGATGGTCCAGCTGCGGGCGGCCGCGCTGACGAAGACACCGATGGCAATGCTGCCGTGCAAATACTCGAATTAATTGTTGAGAACAGAGAATTGCTCCAAAGGTTAAATAGCGAAAATCGTGAAGTTTTAGGAAACATAATCTCAGGCGCCGTTGGAATCGTAATAAATAATGCTGACGAAGACACCGATGGCAATGCTGCTGAGCAACTACTCGAATTACTTGCTGATGAAAGAGAAAGATTCCAAATTCTAGGTGAAGAAATGGGCGAACGCGTGAGAACCGTAGCCATAGGCATCATTGAAGGTTTAACAGGTGATGCTAATGCTGATGCTGATGGTGATGGTGACGCCCAATCGGAAAGAACCGGCGACGATGGTCCAACTACGGGCAATGAATTTCTTGTTGAACAAGCGCTCGAATTTATTGCTAATAGAAGAAAGGAAAATCGACTTTTTATAGAGCAAAGACGCGAAGGCACCACGAGCGAGACTTCTGACGCTGACGCCACGAGCGAGACTTCTGACGCAGCTACAGGCGGACGTGCTACGGAGCGGAGGGGTGGACGTCGACGAACTGATGAGGAGAGGCGAGAACGCTTTAATCAAGTAAGGCGCGAACGTACGGGTGGGCGAAGGAGCGGACAGACCACTGGACAGAATCGTGGAGGGCTCGTCAATCTCTTTTTCGGACGCGGGAGAAATGACGCTGACGAAAACGCTGACGACAACGCTGACGAAAGAGAAGATAATTATATGCGATAAATCAATGTATATGCAATAAATCATGTTATATGTAAGAAATCGAATGTTATTATGTTGGAAAATCGACATGTTATAGTGTGATAAATCGATATGTTAATGTGATAAAGTCGAAGTGTATATTGATAAAATCAACCAATAGAAACACAAAATCGAATATGAGAACAAAAAAAATGGCCATGAGTAGGCCAATTAACGAGGATTGTAGAGTATCGTATCTATGGGCTTGCCCTGACAAGCATCTTTTCCACCTTTTTTGATCAATCTGCCAGCGCAGACCATGGAGTTGGTGATGATGGAGTCACTAACCGTAACTTTTTTCCTGACAGGTCCATCTGAGGTGACCACCACGCACCTCCTGAAGACTAATCGAGATTGAGCCATCGGTGGACAGATATCCGAAATCGAAAAGCTAATTAGAAACGAATTATCTAAGGAAGTAAAATAATAATCAAATCAGATAAAGGAATGTACTATGCAGTATTCGTTTTTCAGAGAAGCCATACCAGTAAGAGCGATAGCCGCAATCCGCCGAACGTTAGTATATATATATATATTATAATATAAATGATAGAGCACGGACTTCGCGTTGATCAGGCGATCGGCTATCACCAGCAATTGGTTTGGCAATGTGTCTGCGCGATGGTAAATAGAAACTATCGATGTAAATCCCGATAGAATCGTGCGACATACCTCATCTCTCTGAAACACTCCCGCTATAGGAATTACTAGAGTATTAAATCGCAGAGCGAGACGCCGCCCCTATATACATCGAGAGCCGTATTAAGTATTACTTAATAGCTCTTGATAACATTTCACGTTTGTCTGTTATTCAATGTCTGAACGTCCGTCAGTTATTATCCGAACATAGTTTGTCCCGCCATCCTGTGACTGTCGTTGATTGGGCCGACCAGATCATATCTGGTATCAGTACGTCGACAATTGATCGGTGAATTAGCATCCGCTGAAGCTCACCGGATCACTGAGCAGCCAACATGGAGATGTCGTTGTCGATCGTTGCCGAAACGTAATTGGCGTGTTGCGTGAATCTCAGAACCTGCCGACAAAAATCGCCAATGAATATTGTGCTTCCGGTAGAATAGAATAATAGAATAGAATACAATTAAGAACGAGCGAATTTGGAATCGAATGGAGTGAAATAAGTACGCGAAAGTCATGCAGGAAATTCCAGCAGTATATATATCAGCAGGTATATTATAGCCAGCGTTCGATATTAGCAAGGTTTTATAATATATCCAGCAGTATATATACAGGTATATATTCCAGCAGTAGTATTTATTATATATCCAGACCCATACTATTACTGCATGTAGTATTATGGGCTCCTAGGATTATTTTCAATCATTAAACATTTAATCGACGTTAACAATAACAAAATTGTACTGTGGAAAAACTTAGCAGTTCCTGTCCGACCCTTACTTACTTTATTAATGTAACTATGGAAGCGATAAACGAGCGATAGAAGATCTCAGAGCGGCTCAAGGATATGGGTATAGGAGTTACGCTGAAGGATATTTTAGCATAGGTAGTTTGACAGAAGCTCTGGCATGTACTTACCTGGCGTACGGAGCGTTCCTATCCCGCAACTGTTTGGTAACAATCCTTACGAATATATCGTATCCTCGTGCTCGCTAAGGTTGTACAGAATAATTCATTATTTATAATAATAAACAATATTTTACAGCTCTCATACTACAAGTAAATGCATCGCGATTGTGAACTGTAGTAAAACAAATATCTCTCTTAAATCTTATTAAACTGTATATCCATAAAAATGCTAATTGTATCGTGAACGTATTACGTTTTCGTATGTTACTTAATTTGCGATGTAATACAGCAATGTTTTTACTATATTACTAAATCCCGCAAACTGCAGCTCGGCCAACACTAATAACAGAAACGAAGACAATTTTAACTTCTGACAATATATAAATATAATATCGTTGGGCTAGCTACCCAGTTAGTGAGGCCCTCGTGCAGTGAGACAGCAGTGTAGAAGTTGTCGAGTCGCTAATGAGTACCCGCGGCCGCACACAGTGGAACGTCGGAGCTGCATCGAACGAATAACCTTCTACGTCGGATAAACATAGCCACCTATACGGACATCGAACATAAAAAAATTCGTTTTTTAAATGCCATATACAGCAAAAGAGTTATAAACAAGTGTATAAATTATGGAACTAATAATAACAATAATAATAATAATAATAATAATTAATTATTTTATTATATTATCTTCATCCATCATCATTGTGCTGCCAGTAGAATATCTGTGAGACACTTTAATAGTTCGCGTTACCGTATCTATACTCTTGTACCAGAGAAGGGCGCGTTTCGTTTGTAGTCTGAATATGTATGGCGCATGCAACAATGTTATCGGTGATGATTATATGGCGCGTACCACGAACCTCTTGCTAGAATGCAAGGTCAACGATGCCACCGCCGGCAGTGGCTTAATGCAACTAGCACCAGTCATTATTCCTATTGATCTTGCTATCATATTACCAAGAGTCCATAATAGAGAATATTCTCTATAGTCTCTATTATGGCCTCTTGATATTACCTGCCACGGGTATTCTCCATCGTCCGCCGTTGTTCCGCCTACTATCGTGTGTTGTCTCCGACGGTGCTTGGCTACCCTTGGTCAGATCTCCTCTCGGGTCCGTGGGTGCGTTCACGACATCTGTATATACAGGGCGATGATCCGACTGTGATTCTCACGCTATAATCTCCGTGAAAGATTGACATGACATTTCGTGAAATTGCGGCTCGATATTCAACAATGATTAACGAGGAGAAGCCTACCTTGTGTTGTTTGCAGAACTCTGCACCGTGACGGTGCGCGTCGCTATGTCGTTTCTCACGCCAGATGACGGCAATCGCGGCCATGTTGGGGTACTGACGGTTTCCTGATTCCTGTTCGTCTGACTCCGCCTCTCCGGCGAGGAGTACGTCCACCCGCCTGTCCGCCACTCACCTTCCGCCCAGCAGCACGTCGGCCCGTAGCAGCCGTCTCTATATGGCGCGTCTGATGTTCCTCCTCTATCCTGTGCTGGGCGCAAGTTTGTCCGTCTGTTCACGGTAAGCTTGGTCCTCCGTCCAGCATTCGTCCGCGTCTCCGTCCGTAGCACGTCCGCCCGTAGTTGCGTCAGAAGTCTCGCTCGTGGCGTCAGCGTCAGCGTTGTCGTCAGCGTCATTTCTCCCGCGCCCGACAAAGAGATTAATGAGTCTCTAACGATTCGCCAGTGGTCTGTTCGCTCCTTCGCCACCCCGTACGTTCGCGCCTTACTTGATTAAAGCGTTCTCGCCTCTCCTCATCAGTCGTCCGCCCTCCGCTCCGCTCGCAGCACGTGCGCCCGTAGTTGCGTCAGGTGATTCGACCGTGGCGTCAGAGTCAAAAGTCCTCGCTCGCGGCGTCAGCGTCAGAGGTCTCCGCCCGTGGCAGCAGCGGCAGCGGCAGATGTCTCGCTGCGGCATCAGCGTCAGAAGTCTCGCTCGCGCGTCAGCGTCAGCGTTGTCGTCAGCGTTGTCGTCAGCGTTGTCGTCAGCGTTTATTTCTCCCGCGTCGAAAAGAGATTGATGAGCCCTCCACGATTCTGTCCAGTGTCTCTCCGCTCCTTCGCCCACACCGTACGTTCGCCCGCTTACTTGATTAAAGCGTTTCTCCGCTCTCCTCATCAGTTCGTCCGCCCTCCCTCCGCTCCGTAGCACGTCCGCCCGTAGTTGCGTCAGAAGTCTCGCTCCTGGCGTCACGTCAGAGGTTTTGCTCGTGGCGTCAGCGTCAGAAGTCTCGCTCGTAGCGTCCAACGTCAGCGTTGTCGTCAGCGTCAGCGTTGTCGTCAGCGTCATTTCTCCCTGCGTCCGAAAAAGAGATTGATGAGCCCTCCACGATTCTGTCCAGTGGTCTGTCCACTCCTGCGACCACCCGTACGTTCGCGCCTTACTTGATTAAAGCGTTCTCGCCTCTCCTCATCAGTTTGTCGACGTCCGCCCTCCGCTCCGTAGCACGTGCGCCGCGTAGTTGCGTCAGGTGATTGACCGTGCGTCAGAGTCAGAAGTCTCGCTCGCGGCGTCAGCGTCAGAGGTCTCGCTCGTGGCAGCAGCGCGCAGCGGCAGATGTCTCGCTCGCGGCATCAGCGTCAGAAGTCTCGCTCGCGGCAGCAGCGCGCAGCGGC